CCTTTTAATTATTTGCCAGACCAAATTTTTGCTTTTCTTTTTTGCTGGAGCTCACCATTGAAGTTGGCTTCACACATGCAGCCATTCATGTCATTCCAGGTATTTAAAGGCCAAATTCACCCACTTATTGAAAAAAAATCAAGTGTTTGAAGAGCTAGGGAAGAGAAGAGTTGCTGTGATGTGATCTACCTCCCTGGCCAGGGCAGCCAGCAGCCGCATGGACAAGCTGCAAAGCCCAGGCATGAGGCCACTATGAGGGGTAAATGGCAGTTGGCCAGGTGGGAGCTGTGTCTTGCTGCTCATGCAGAGCCGCTGCTGACCATGCAGCACCTCTGGTCTTGGCGCCTGCACCGGGCTTGCTGGTCCTGCCGGCTGCTGTAAGAACAAGCCATGTGGGCAGTAATTCTTCCCACAAATGCTCTTCCAGTCAGAGATGGAAAACTCCATCATCATGGGCTATTAAAATATGAAGTCCCTGAGCCACAAATCCTGCCCCAGACAGAAGTGCTAGACTATTTATACACTCCTGTATAAGAGCCACTGCAGACCTTTGGCTATCTCTATTGCTTTTTGAATGTTTTCCAGTCCAGCTATATCCTTCTGAGACGGGGAGAGCAGAAAAGCACTCGGTGAATTATGGATGTGTAGAGGGCTGTAATGATGTTCTCCCTTTTACAGGCTCCTCTTTTCCAAATACTTTTTAACATGCACTTCTCATTTGAACAGCTTTTGGACTATCTGGTAAAGCTGAGCTCTTATTCCACAGAGGGAATAACTTGGTGTGCATTATAAGATTGTAAAGAGAAGAGAATAGGAAAACCACATTTATCCCCATTCAGTATCAGCTGCCATTTTATTATCTGTTCACACAATATCACAAATTGTTGCTCACCCTGAATCATGGATGGTCTTGTTACACCACAACCTAAGTGGAAGGTGGAAGCAGTGATGTGGAGGGTTGGAGAGGCTGATGCCAGCACCAGGGTTTTGCCCAGCCTGGATGCCTGAATACTCCCAAAATGCTGCTTTGTCCTCCCCATCCTCTCTGCTCACTCCTCTTCATCCTCCCCAGCAGCGGGGGGGGAGCAGGAGGAAGGCAGGAGGCAGACGGTGCTGAGGTGTGTGAGGAGGGAACCAAGGTGGCTGGTCCTGGGGATGGAGCTGTGGTGGCCCCGACCATTCCTGGTCCTGGAGGGAAGCAGTGGTGGTCACAGCGGTGCTCCCTGGCCTGGCTCCCCATCCCACTGCACACCAGAGTGTGGCCAAGGAGGGCTTGTCCCTGTGCCCTGGAGTGGCAGTTGATGAGGCAGGAGGTGTGCAGGAGTTTTTCCAGCCGTTTTCCCTGTCAAATCCTAGCCAAGCCTCCAGGGCTGCCTGGGAGCCCTTGTCACCTTCCCCAGGAGCTGCAGGCAGGACCTTGAGCAGCTGTGGCTTGTCCCTTGCCCTCGGGGGTGTGTGTGTGTGTGTGAATGCATGGGACCATGCACCCAAGGTAGCTCTATTCCATCTTCACAGAGCAAAAGCCTCTTGTGTGCAGCAGAGGGAGGTGCAATGTGTAGCAGGATCAAGAGGAGAAAATTCTTGCTGCCCTGAGTGCTTAAAAGCCAGTGTGGTATCAAACCCTCTGGGGTCTGAACCCTTTTGTCCCACACTGACAGGCTGAAATAGGGAAAAAAAAAAAAAAAACCAACCCAAAACCAAAAACCCGCCTCTTTTCCTATCTTCACCCTTCAGCAAGAGCAGCACATGGGATGATCTTGGGGTCCCCCAGCCCTGCCTGCAGCAGGATTTGCAGGGCCGGTTGGCTCAATGAAAAACTTTGACTTACCTGCTCCTCCTCGGCATCCACAACTGGTCCCACACACTCGCTGTGCCACTGGGTTGAGGTCCCACTGCTCCAGGCCATCTGCCTGCCGACAACACTGCCAGCAGCCCTGTTTTCCCCTTGCTCCATCCTGAGCACCAGGACTCAGTCTGCTGAAATCCCTATCGAGGTGGAATTACTGGGCACTGTCATCTGGACCTCAAATTGCCAGCAAGGTTTTTCACATCCCTTCTTCTTTAACGTTTTGCAGTCCTAGGCAGAGGACAAAGCTTCATAGAAAATAAAAACACAACACGGTTGGGAGGCTGGCACAAGCTATGGGTGTGTACCCAGGTTGGGGCAGGGTTCACTGTACCAAAAGCCCTGTTTGGGTGCTGGGTATGGGCAGCACTGCTGCCTGTGGGTGCCCAGCAGTTCTGCCACAGCCCCAGCCTTGGCACAGTGAGAAGGACATGCCCCACATCTCCTTCCCACCTAAATGTCTCCCTGCTGCTAGATGGCTGCAGGTTGCCCACACAAGTGAGTCTACCTGAGCATCAGTTAGAGGTTTGCTTGCCAAAACACCAAGGCTTGGTACCATGGAGCTCCCTAGGGAGTGCGAGGAGATGTCTTCAGGGGCTGAGCAGCTGATATAACTCCTGAAAGGCTTCATGGCAGGTGAATTGTTTTTGCTAGGTGTTTGGGACACTGCTTCACCCTGCCTGGGCTAGGAGACAGCCACGCTTCAGGCACAATGGAAGAAGAGCAGCTCAAGGACCTATTAGCTTCCAAGTGTGGACTGACTTGAGGTGCAGTATATAAGAGCATCATGGCATGTAACGACCTTGTATCTCTCCACTGCCACGTCTAGGGATGGAGTTTGGCTGGGCTGTGAAAACAGCCTCCAAGAGAAGAGCCATCAGTGTCTCCAGCAGCATCGTCCCCCCGCCCTGCACAGGGATGGGGCTGGGAGCCAGTAGATCCCAGCTCAGCCTGCTTTGACCAACTAAAATAGAGGCCAACATGACTGGGCAGTTCTAGGGTGTTTGAGCTTTTCTCCAGCCCATCAGGGGAAACACAGACCTTTCAACTGAGTCAAGTCCTTGTGGAGCAGCCCTTGCCCTCCACCCACCTCCTGCAGCCTTTTGCAGGCCCTGCTGCTCTTTTTCCCAACCTAGAAACAGGGCCAGTAAGTGCTGGAAGACCACTGCCAGGAGCTCCTGGAGGGCCTTTCTTCTCTGAGTGCCAATGCTGAGAGGTCCCCACCAGCTTTAGCCCTGCTTGATGGCAGGGGGCCTGGGTTTCCAGGGGAGAGTGAAGGGGACAGAGGCATCTGGACCCACTAGCTGAAAAACCCTTGGGAAGAGGCAATATTAAGTTGCACTTCACAGGGGTGAAGACACCCCTGTTTCAAATGGATCCTCTTGCTGGACGTGGCTTTGTGAAAGCCACAGCAGCATCCAGACCCAGGAGCAACAGCCCCAGGGCTGGGGAGAGGGTGTGGGAGCTGGGGAGAGGGCAGCCTTGTCCTGGTGACCTGGACCCCCACCTGGACCCAGCTTCTACAAAGGACACATGGCCCTGCGTGCCCTGAACAATGGGCTGTACCCTGGACAAATTCTATCCCCACAAGCACATCCAGAGGCTCCCTCCCAGCCCAGGCAGCATCCCACAGTGCAGACAAAGTAGGGGCCCAAGCAGCCAGGGAGGAACAGAAAGCAAGATCCTTTATTGTACACAGTACAGAATGTAATGCACCTTTGCAGGAGATACACAGCCCTGCTCTAGTAAAGATTATTTCAAATCAGTCCTCAGATTAACCCCTTCTGCACTGTAGACCTGCCACACTGAGCAAATGGTTAAAACTCTGTCCCCAAGGTGGGGTTCCTGCAACTGAATGCTCCCCACAGGTACAGGGCACTGCAGCCACTGTGGGGAGAGCAACTGAGTCTACCCAGAGTTAATCTTCATACTTCCCCAAGAAAGAATGAATCAGTCAAAAAAAAAAAAATCCAAACAAAGCTAACAAAGGAAGAGAAAAAATTTCCTATACAGCATTTACAACAAAACCATGTAGCTGGTGGGGGTGGGGGGGATAGGCAGGTATGGATATACGAGTGGTGGAGTGTTAGGAGGCGCAGCGGCAAGGGGGGAAGCTAGAGGGACGCAGGGTACCTGGGAAGCAGCATGGGGGACCCCACCGTCCTGCCCACTGCAGCCTTACAGCCCAGCTCCGAGGCCATGCTGAGCAGGGCAGGGAGCACAGCTGAGCCAGCACCAGGGTTCAGCCTTGGTTCCCCCAAGAAAGAGGACTCGAGTGGTGAAATGGAGTGGACCAGATACTTCGGCAGCCATCCCAGCAAGCCGCAGGCACCAAGGGCTCCCCTGGCAACCATGCCACCAGGAAAGCCAGGGAGGGCATCTGCAGGAACAGCAGCCAGGTTGCAAAAAATAGCTTTGCCTTAAAATACAAAAAATCTACAAAAATCAGTTTAGAAACCTTTTTTTTCCCCCCTAAAACATTAAAAAAAAACAAAAAAAAAAAAAAAAAAGGAGGGGGGGGGGGGGGGGGGGAGATAGTGTCACGGTCTCCTCCTCTGAAATGCAACCCATGGCACACAGCCAGAGCTGGGGAGGAGGAGTGAGAGGGACATAGAGAGGACCTGGGGGGCCAGGAAACTGTTATATCAGGTTATATCATGAGGGCAGGGTGGGGAGGGTCAGTTCAGGAAGAAGGCAGAAGGCTCCTCAGGGTTGGGGTAGGATGCTGCGCATGTCAGCCCTGGGGTGCAGGCCCAGGGGGCCCCCCTGCATCCCTCCTCTGTGCAAATCAAAGCCCTTTCCACCACAGAAGGCAGCTACACAGATCGCGCTCGATGCAAAGCAGATTGTCGTGAAAATTCGCCAGGCGGCCACACTGGCTCAGCCCAGTCCTGGGACACTGCTGGAGCCATCAGCCCTCACGGTGCTGGAGAGGAACAGGGCCTGGGTCAGAGACTGCATCTTTAGCTCCCATCACCCGATGGTTGGTGGGAGGTCCCAGCCACGGGCAGTCCTATGCACTAGCCCTTGGACATTAAGGGTGGGAATTCAGTGGTGACACACAGGGGGCATTTTACATTCCTCTAATTTGTGTGTGCGCACATGCGCTGTGTTGGTTTGGTGTTTTTTTTTTTTTCCTCTCCTTATGAACAGCAAAAAATATTCTTTAGAAAACCGTATTTGCCCCAAGTGGATGTGCTAGTGCTTGTGGTTCTGCAGGCTGGCTGAGTCAGTAAGCAAAGCCCTCCGCGTAAGGAAGGCTGCTGCAGGGATCCATTTCCAGGAGGTATGCTGGGCTGTCCTCGAAGTGCGTCAGCGGCACTGTCTCCTCCTCGGGCACTGGGCAGTCAGGCTCCATCTTCAGGAAGGGCCGCTGGTTGTCAGGGTAGGCCATGGAAAAGAGGGCATCGGGGTCGCAGACGAACTTATAGACATACCTCTCACCAGCCACCTGCAAGGAGGAGGAGGGCATAAGAGGTGCCCTGCACCTTCAACCCCATGGAGTAACAAGCATGGCATGACCGACATTGGACTTAGCCCCCCTCCTGCTGTGCCCCGGGACACCAGGGTGACAGTGGGGGATGGTCACACCTTCCACCCACCCCTCCCGTGGCAGTAGGGTCACTCGCCTTCTGCATGATGCCCTTCTCATAGTAGTAGCGCAGGGAGCGGCTGAGCTTGTCGTAGTTCATGGCTGGCCGGTTCTTCTGGATGCCCCAGCGCCGTGCTACCTGCAGGGAGAAAGGCAGCAGCCGTCAAGGCTCCAGCCAGGGCTCGGACATTGGTCCTCAAAAGGAAATCACAACCAAAATGCAGGGTAGGGGCTTGTTTCTGGGGGCTGCAGCAGCCAGGGGCAAAAGCATCACTGTGGTCCTGCAGAATTTCCCCGCCTGATGCAATAAATGCTCCAGCTCCAAGCGCCAGCTGCCACAATGCCGCCACCGCCAAACCGGGGCCAAATCAAAAGACATTTGATTAGGGGAGCCTGCCAAAAAAGCCGCTTCAAAAACCCACAATTTCCATGCACGGCGTAAGAGATATTATGGGTAACTACCCACAATGCGCAGCTCAGCACTACAGCTGCTTTCAATTACTGCCCAAACAGCTTCTTCCTCTGCGTCACCCTCCTGCAGAGCTGCACAGCTCCAGCACAGCACCATGCCGGCACAGAGATGCCGCTGGGTACTCAGGGCGAAGCAGCAGATCAGTTTGGGAGGGAGGGAGGGAGCTGTGTCTGAGCAATGAGACTCAGCAAGACACCCAAGGCACAGCAGAGACAAAGCTACCATGAGCTGGTGACCACCAGCAGCTCCAGGAGCAGAGTGTGTGCTGTGCAGAGAGGCAGTGGAGGAGATGAAAGGCAAATTTCTATGGCTGCTTAGTGCAGACAGGTGGTTGGCTTTTCCCTCTTGCCCTCAAAAGCTGCCTGTAGAGTAAGATACGTGCCTCGCTTCAGATGCAAGTGTGAACTGCTGTGTTGCATGGGAAGGATCCAGCCCCCGACCCCACACCCTCAGGCTCTCCCCATGGCCATTCCTGGGCTGTAGCCCTGGCTCCAGCACGCCACGCGCTGGGGCAGGACTGCCCATACCTCCTCAGGTTCGATCAGCTTGAACTCCATGCCCCGGCCGGTCCAGGCAATGAAGTGGGCATTGGCGGGGTCATCCAGGAGAGTGACCAGAAACTGCCAGAGCTGCAGGGATCCACGCCGCTGGTAGGGAGGGCCCTCACGGTACAGGGTGGGCTCCTGCTTCACTTTACCTACCCGCACCAAGACATGGCTGGTTAAACACCCCGGCTCTGCCCCTCTCCTGGGCTGTACCACCCGGCAGGGGACACGTACAGCAACACTGGCTTTCCACTGTGCCAGGACCCCCTGTGCAGGATCAGACCACAGGGTTGGAGAGGGGAGAGGTGCTGGGGATGGTGCTGCAGACAGGCAAGGCTTGGGGTGAGTGGCAGGGACGGGGATGGGGCA